CCCAAGCAAATCTCTTGGGCCAGATGGACTTAGTCCGGGTTTCTACCAGTATTTTAGGGATGTAGTGAGTCCAGATATTGTTGTTGGGTACTGTAGGAATGTCTTGGAGTATGGTAAGTTACCAGACAGGATAAATCATACTCATCTTCTTCTCATCCCGAAGAAGGAAAAACCGGAGTCTTTAGCGGATTGGCGACCGATTGCTCTTTGTAATGTTATTTACAAGATTCTCGCAAAATTGTTGGCAAATAGAATGAAACCCCTTCTTGGTAGTTTGATTTCGGAGAATCAAAGTGCTTTCATTCCGGGGCGATCTATTATTGATAACATTATGATCGCGTTCGAAGCGCACCATTACTTAAAAAGGAAAAGACAAGAGGAGGGGGGATGTGTGGCTCTCAAGCTTGACATGAGTAAGGCTTATGACCGAGTTGAGTGGCCTTTTCTTGAGCAGATGCTACGGTTGTTTGGAATGCGTTACCACGGTCACTTACTCAATCCCCTTTGATGGGAGAGATATTGGGCCCATTATTCCTAGATGGGGTTACGACAGGAGGATCCCCTTTCTCCTTACTTATTTATTCTAGTAGCTGAGGGACTGAGTTGTATGATAAAGCGACTGGAAGCTGCAGGAAAATTACATGGGGTTATGGTGGCTAGAGGAGCACCTAGGATTTCTCATCCTTTCTTTGCTGATGACAGTCTGCTTTTTTTCGGGCAACACATGAGGAGGGCTCGGTAGTCCAGGAGCTGCTAAGGGAGTATGAAGACCTCTGTGGACAGATGGTGAACTATTCTAAATCTACTTTATTTTTTAGTTCAAATACACATGTGGGCATAAAGGAAGGATTGGCACAAATGCTTTCTGTTAGTGTTGCTGCTCCTGGGGCTTTATATTTGGGACTGCCAATTTCTGTAGGTCGTGAGAAGAAGGCAATTTTGGCTTCCATAAGGGAGAATATTGTGTGTAGGCTACAGGATTGGAGATGCAGGTTTTTATCAAGGGCGGGGCGGGCGGTTTTACTCAAATCTGTAATTCAAGCGGTTCCAAATTATGCCATGAACGTGTTCCTACTGCCAAACGAACTCTGTTTAGAATTGGAAAGGTTGGTGAATGGGTTTTGGTGGTTAGGAAGTGGGAACAAAGGAATTCGGTGGACTGATTGGAGTGCTTTATGGCGGCCTAAAAGTAAGGGGGGCTCGGTTTTAGAAGAGTTAAACAATTTAATCTTTCCATGCTTAGTAAGCAAGCCTGGAGATTATTGACGGAACCTAGTACGTTGGTTGCTAAGATATATAAGGCACGATATTATCCAAAGTCCTCATTTCTGGAATCAAGTCTTGGGAGCAATCCGTCTTTTATTTGGAGGGGTATTTGGGAGGCTAAACCGGTTGTATTGGCAGGGTATAGGTGGTGTATTGGGGATGGCAAGCATGTTCGCATGTGGGATGATCCATGGATGCCAAGTCTAGAGCAACCGAGAGTGCAATCTGCTCCAATTCCTGACCTGGAGAACTGTCTGGTGCAGGGACTGTTTTACCCGGGGGGAGCGGCGCTGGGATACCGATGTGGTGCAGGACCTCTTGGAGCAACGTGATTGGAACTTGGTAGAAAGCATTCCGGTGAGTTGGATGAGTGTACCTGATCGTATTGCATGGACTTGGGAGGAAAATGGCCGGTTTTCAGTCAGAAGTTGTTACAGGTTTTAATGGGGGAATTTGATTCGGAAGGATGGAAGGGATGGACTAAAATGTGGAATTTTTTTATCCAATCTAAAGTTAAAGTTTTCTTCTGGCAAACTTGCTCGGGTTGCTTACGTACGGCTAATAAACTTCAAGCGAGGAGGGTAGAGGTGCCGGACCAGTGTGTTTTTTGCAGAGATGAAGGGGAAACTACAAGGCACGTTTTTGCAGAATGCAGCAGGGCGGGAGAGGTTTGGCAGCAGGTGGATGGCTTCATCAATATTGGGTTGCAGGCTTCATTTTTGGAGTGGGTTGAACAGATTTTCCTATCCAAAAATGAGAACGGCTGCTGTGAGTTTATCATGATATGTTGGAGCTTATGGTATTTCAGAAACAGGAAAGTTTGGTATCTGGAGGATGCAAGAGCGGACATGATTTTGGCTTTTGCAATGGCTGTCCTTCAAGGTTAGAGGGCTGCACAAGAGAAAGAGGGATCCAATGAGAAGAAAGAGTCTGGGAGGGCAGCAACATGGCAGAAACCAGTGGAGGGCCGGCTAAAGGTTAACGTGGATGCGGCTACTGGGGAGAGGGGACGGCGGGGACTGGGATGGGTGGCCAGAAATGCAGCAGGTGATTTTGTGGCTGCTGGAGCAACTCCATGGCTAGGAAATTGGTCTACGCAATTGGGGGTATATATAATGTGTGCGTGTGTGTATAGATGAATTTATACACACACACAAACTCTGTACAATATATCCCTAGGATATTCTTGCAATTTTGCTTGGTGTGCTACCTTAGAAACTTTCATATAATGAAAGCAACTGTTAAAAAGATTCAGTTCATTTAATACTTCAGTTTGTGTTAGTTTATGTTAAAATGAACTAGTTTATACAGACTTCATAGTCCATTAAAAGTAATGGTTAATCTAGGGAAAATGACAGAAGACAAAAAAACATAGATAAAAGAAGAGAACCCAAATAGTATTTTGGATGGATGAAACATAATGTTTTTAATTAAGAACATAACTTAAGAACACATGATTTAAGAACATAACTTGGATGGAGTTTTAGACTTCTTAGTTCTTACTATTGTAAACTTATAATGTTGTTGTCCAGAAGGTCGTCTAAACATTTTCAGATGTTATACATACAACATCTGAGCCTTAATCCCAAAAGAATTTTCAGATGTTATACATAAGAGGCTAAGAGCATAAAATTGATTTGTCATTTTGTTCTAGCTATTTTGCTTCAAAAACGCATTACAACCACATCACTGACAACTTAGTCTCATAGTCTTTTAGTTTTGCATTTAGCCAGACACGCACCTCATCCTAAACTTTCAAAGAATGGAAAAGGCATTAAATTCAACTAAGAAGGAATAGGGATTGAAGAGAAAATATATCATCTAAACTAAAGAAACTAAAGCCCATGGTTTAAAACCCATGGAAATGGTAAAGGTGTGGCCAGCTTGGTTTAAATTAAAAAAAAATCTTAGAACAAAAGATAAAAATGGATGCAGTCAAATGCATTTAATAGTTTCAACATTACAAGCCTAATGTATTGAGATCATTGCAGGCAAATGAATTTTGTGTTCAGGAAAATGTATTTCAATTGGATTTTATGTTCAGGCATATATACTTTTACTCAAAAATATGACTGAAAACAGTGGTTTTCAGTCCCACTGTTTTCAGTCCCTGTGATATCAAATTTAGCAGGAATAGCATATATCAAATACTATATGTATTTAGCAGGAATAGCATATATCAAATACTATATGGTGTACTTCAAAAAACTTAGGTGGCATAGGGAAAATAGGCAGTTAGATATTAGCAAAATAGAAGTAGTTTCCTTAGATGAAGGGCATCATGAATCGGCTGTTTACTTGAGCATTTTGAACACTGTTACATACGGAGTATGTTTTTTAATTGAAATAAAAGGTTTGAACTTTGAACTGAAAACGACATGCTTTGTGTTTATATTTCTTTCATTAGGGTCAGGCTTTTAGACATGGTCATGGCAAATTAGCAATGCCCATGTCTGTTTTACATTGCATGGAAACAACAGTGAACTTTGTGCATCACAGCTGCATCAAGGACCACATATATTGTGCTTCTTTTAACATGTGCGGAATTTCTGGCAAAATTATTTTGTGTGGGGTGGAGGTTAGGGTGTTGGGGTTGGTAAATGGTTAGTAGTACTCTAAAGAGTAAAGGTGTAGGTAGTTAATATTTCATACTACGGCATGTATGATGTATCAAGCACCAGACCAATAACCAGCAAAGCCTATAACACTTTCCACATCTATGAGTGCAGAAAGCAAATAGGTTACACTTCATCCTATTGATTACCTACCACATTCAACCTACCACAAAACAGAACATCTAAAAAGTGTAATTGTAACTGAGAAATTGACATACACTGTATAATCAACAAATTTTGTTGATAACTCTAACTATCAAACGAATAGTCTAGCGTAATTGATAATTTTTCAGTAAATGAAATTTACTGTAAAATAAATCCTAGAAATGAAATCCCTTTCATCATCTAAATATATTATCCTAACTTTCTCTAGTAAAATTAGAAACAGAGTTCCCCACTACCATAGTCTTACTATTTATTACAAACACACTTAATGTAGTAGTGATTCACTACAAATGACAAGCAAGACCAAGAGTTTGGTGTTGAAAAAATTGCAGTGTATTTAGTGAATAAATATCAAAGTGAAGATGGTTACAGTACTGAAAAAATATATGCTATAAAAGTATTTAGTGTATTGCAGTGTATTTAGTGAATAAATATCAAATATATCAAAGTCTATGCTATAAACTAATGAAAATAGGGGAGACAGATACATATCTCAACTAATGAAAATAGGGGAGACAGATAGATATCACTCAGACTCTCACAGGTATAAGTAATAATAACAACTATAGTAAAATTAAGAGCGTAGAAGTCAAAACTCATATAACCATTTCATTTGTTACTTGGCGTAATGGTTCCATCTATTCTTGTCTCAAAAATTTGGAAAGGTTTCAGTCGTTAAGTAATTACTCCGTATTTTTTGAAATAAAAGGAAAATGGGAAGAGCTACATTACGAATCATCACTATAAAAAATGGACAAACGAGTCATAATATAGAGTAGTTTATGGCTCTGTTTGGTTATCAGTTTTTTTGAGCTAAAACGCGGAACGCCATGGAAGCTAAACCGCTGGAAAACTAAACCACCGAGAATCAACAAGGATTATTGGAAGGATTTCATTATTAGATGATAAATTTGAAGGATTACTACGAGAGGAGATGAAGGAATATTTACATACCTAAAATCAGGAAGAAGACCTAGCGAGGACCAACCAGCCGTGAGATGCGCAGCAGATAGGTAAGGGAGCAGGATCGATGGAGAAAGCCCGTGATGGAGAATCGTGCAGATAGGTAGGGTTAAACGAGAGAGGCGCTTACCGTTGAATTAATCCGTATAGTAAACTCTGGATGTGTACTAAGTAGTTGGGCCGGCCCATCGATAGGGCTGTCAATATGACCCGCGCCCGCGGATACCCGATCAATCCGAATCGAAAATCTATACTAGTATCTATATATATATAGTAAAACAGAAAAATGTGGGGGAGTTTTGGGGGATTTTGGGCGGGAAGTGTTTATACTCACTAGCGGATCTATTCAATAATTATCTTTATCTACTTAATATTCTAGAACCCACTTAATGGCAGGAGCAACACGTATCCCAAATAATTACAATAAAAAACAGCACTAAATAATGCTATCACACTTCTCAAGAAATAGTATATAATTATGCAAGAATATCAATGCTTAGTATGTTGTGCGGAGCGGTCATAATTATGCTCTTACACTTCCCAAAAACATTATGCTTAATATGAATTGTTATATTATTTTTTGGTCTTGGTTGCATGTTCATTCACAAATCGAAGTACTTAGCTCATGTGTTTCATTATATAGAAGATGCATCTAAGTGTGGCCTGGGGTGCTTAGGGATATATCTTCTCAAGCAAACCATTGGCGGGCGGGTCTTTAAGGGTACTGCTCATGAAGTGATGAGATATCTTCTCAAGCAAACTATTGCTCACCATTGTCCCATTTTGGATGTCCTTCTATTATTGTTTCATACTATATTTGGTAACATTTGTGTGATTCTAATTCATTCTTACTTTCCAATTTCACACTTTATTAACTCATTATCAACCATATAATTTTATTTTAAAAAAACTCACATCACTCCCTTACGTTCCAATATTAAGGCAGCGGAAGGAGTAGTTTATATCATAGGTATAAATGGATAAGATGAAATTGTGAAAAGGTAATATCATTAGATGCGGATTAAATAACATTTATACTTTAGCTTGGATAATGAGTCTCCATGGTTAACATCAAAATGAAGAAGCATATCATTTATAGTAACCCGTTTAAACCCACCTGTTGTGTAGAGTTAGAAAAAGTGAAAGTATAAGTAAGCTTTTTATTGTTAAAGTATGACAACAGTTTTAAGTAAGCTTTTTATAATTTAAATATGATCAAAAAACAGAATTAAAGAAGCATGTACACTGAGTTTCTAATATGTAGATGCATTTGGCAAAGTTAAATACCAGGCCTTCACGTCCTATATAAAACACAATTTAATTTGATGAGTTAAAATGGTTGAGCAGATGCATTGAAATTTAAAAGAATGAGAAGCACGTGGACGAGAAGTTATAGTTTCAATTTCATATGAAGTATAAAATCCAATAAATTAGATTACGGATAAGTATCAGATCACATACACATTGCACTTAATAAGGGTGGTTGAAATTTCTATAACCAGAGAACTTTTGAGTCAATAAAAAAATAAAATGTCAACTTCAGCTTTTTGTAACACGGTTCTGTTTCTTTTCCGTTTAATTGTTATAAAATAATTAAGTATAATTGTGAACTCTGCATCAATTTATGTTTCTGAGCAAAAAGCATCTAAAAATTTGTTACAAATCCAGGTTAATTATTATCACGGTTCTGAGATAAAAACAACTACCACTAAACAACGATTCCATGCAAAGAGAAAATGTCAAGCAAAATTGTGATAAATATGGGATATTTAAAGTGCGAACCAAATAGAATGAACAAGTGAAAATAGATTTTGGGTTCGAAGGAAAATTTCACCTGAGTGGAAAATCTAGATAACTTCTCTGCAATTTAGAAGATGGGAAGACCGAATCAAAGCCGTCCTTCAATAACCTGGAAAGAGACCTTCAGACTTGAAGCTCTGGAGCTAATAAATGGGAGAAATAAGCCGGCGGAGAAGAGTTTTGTCAAAGAGCTTCGGTGTAGACGTGGAATGTTTTTCAGGGTAATTAAGCGGTGCATCTCAGCTGTTATTTCGACTACTGTTTTCAGCTGGCTAGGGGTTAAGATTGCACTTTTTTATCTTTAAAAATTGAATTTCATCAATTCATGACTTGAAAGATTAACGAATCATTAATTTGGGATCTGAAAAATGAAATGTATAGATATAAGTTCCGAATGATAGAAATTATCAATTTATGACCTCAATTATTGAAAAACTATCAATATAAGATCTAAGTTGTCACGGCTTTTATCATTATTTTATTTTAAAATTTTAGATATTATTTAGTTTTATTAAACTAATAAACTTCCGTAAAAAATTCTACCAAAAATTAGTAATGGAACTAATAAAAAATTAAATAAATCAAAACCTATGAAATGTTAGGTCCTAGATTGATAGTTTTCCATCATTCAGGTGTTATACTGATATATTTCGATTTTCGGATCTCAAATTGAAAGTTCATTTATCTTTCGTGTTCTGAATTGATAAAATTTCTTAAAGTTGTCTTAGCTTGGGCCACTAGAATTTTCTAGCATTTTCTAGCTTCATTGTTGTTTATTTATTTGATTACAATGCATCTTATTTAATTTGATATTTGCTCTGTATTAAAATTTTCACTCTTTGGGCATCAATTTTTCATAACATATATATGTAAATAGAATACACATATAGAGGTAACGTATATATCAGGTTGAATTAGGAGCATGACTTTTGGAAAGCGTCTGATCTAAACTTCACCGGCAGGAGATTTCGAGATCCACTCCGCTACACGGTAGAGGATCTCAATCCATATCAGGTCAGGCCCACCTCACAGGATTTGAGGCTAAAAAAGAGTTTATGATCCATTTTTTTTGCTCACATTCTTATTTTTTTTTACCTCTAATAACACTCTTATCTGAGAGAGCATCAAATTATGTTTTTCATAAAAATACTAATTTATTTTTAGTTTTTTGGCAAATGCAATTGATGGTTGATACTGATGAACAAAAAAATGAATGTGTTCATAATATTCATATTCATATTGTAAAAACACCTCTTCACATTTTGCATGATACTACTCCGTACTACTATAATTTACCCCATACTATATTTCTAATTCAATTTAGATTTTTTAGAAAATAGATTGATCTCAAACATACTTAAAAACACACATATTTAAGAAAAATATGTCCCGTGCATGAGTGCATCGCACGAGTACTGTACTAATTATATATTAAAACGGAATAGTCTGCAGAGAATTGAGCGGGAAGTGTGAACACGATAGATGGCAACATGCCTGCCGGAAACGAATTAAAAATGTAGAGTAAAAGAAAGCAATGAAACAGTGCATGTAATACATATCGTAGTTCGTGTCAGCTTCAATGCATGTGTTCCTCACTTCCTCCCCATTTGAAAGAACTCAAGAGGCATGCAATTAGCGTCTTTTGGATTTCATTGCAAAGTCCCAAGTGCGGCCTTTTGGATTTCCCGATAAACATTTAATTTATTGGGTATATGGCTGGTCAGCTTTCTTAAACGACTTCCACATATTCTCCTATATATATGGAGCTGTTCGTCAGCACAAGCTGTTCATTTATTAATTTGAATAGGCCGGTATTATTAAAATTTTGTCGTGATATGGATGTAGGAATGAGACGTTTGCAACGGGTTGCTTGGAGGGTTCATGGCAAGTGGCAACCACCGGTCGAGGGTGCTCGGTAGTAGACCCGTGGGCGGCCATACTATGTAGCTTCGTTGCGGCTGTGCTTGGGTTCTTATTGTGGCGGAGAAAGTGCACCGTGACGATCTACCCGTTGGAAGGGGGAAACTACACGGTGGGCGCGGAGCATGGAGGATAATATTTACGGCGGCACTATTTGTGAAGAAAAAGTATGGGAGCGAGGTGTATCTGGTCATTGCCGAAAGCTTAGGCCATATAGGTTTTGTTGATGGGCGGGGCGCGGAGTGAAGCTGTGGCCTGTGGGCGGCACTATACATTACATGAACTAATCAAGCTATGTATACCTACTGTTTCATTCGTTTTATCATTCATAAAAAATGCAGGAATGACTTTGCATGATCATAAAACACCAGGGATGCATGTTTGAGTGGACAATAGTGATGGGTGAGTGGTTCATACACAAATAACGTGATCAGAAATTAGTAATGAACGCATAAGTAAATAATTAATGAGCACAAGTAATTTTATAGGGAGTTTATAAATGTAGTAACAAACAATAATATGACTTCTTGCATTAAGGAATCATATAACACTACAAATAAACATGGAATTGAAAAGGATTTTGGAAGAGATTTGACACAGATTTTGGTAGAGATATGACAAATTCGTGCCACAAACACTTTGGCACGAGCTATTTGATACGAAAAATTGGTAAATTCGTGACAAATTTTTGTGTCAATCACGTAATTTTTTGTAGTGTAAAAATGAAGTATTTTTATCAATATAATACGCAGTACGTAGTACTTCGTACAAATTATAATCCACTCTCACAAACATGAATGATTTTTTTTGTGTAATATTGAGTTGTTGAATTCGTAGTACAACTTAATAATTTGATTACCTCATATCGGGCTAAACTTGAAAATTATTGGTGATTCGATAAAAGGTGTTTTAAATGTAAAATGTACAATTTCGGTCGATATATATGTATGTTAAATACGTCACAATTATCCTCTACACACTAATGATGCATGTAACTTAATTTGCTAAAACAATGAAATGACACAACACTCCAAATTAGAATTGGTGGAGCAAAAAGATAGTGTAACGATCTGTTGGAAGGAAAGGTAAAAAAACTACCATTACTAGTAGGATTTAATGAGAAACACTTAGGAGAGATAACGGAGAAGCACTTGGGTGGAGGACTGGAGGTCTATCATTTTATGATGTATTGAGTGGCTCCGTGTGGTAAATTATTGATAGGTTTTATTAAAAAAAAATCAACAGTGCCATTAATTACATGGTTAAAGAAAAATAATGACAAGTGAAAATTAATTAACTTAAAGTAATTGCTTAAGATAAGAGTAGAACATTAAAGAAGTTCCAATGTAAGAGTTACGGTTGATTTATTACGTAAATAGGAGCTATTTAATAAACTATCCGTTCTCTGAATTGATTTATTCTAAATTTACCCTCCCCACATTTAACAGTTGGCTCATCCGTCAATAGCTGTCGCGCTTTCCTTTATTTGCTGTCAAGCACTTCTGCAA